ATTCTCACACAAGTTAAATGTATTTAACGAATGCCGTTAACTGGTTTGCAATTATTTTCGCTTTCGATATCACATCTGATTTAAAACCAAGTGTTATAATGCCATGGTTCCAAAGTGGTGGGTAGGCACTAATTCCTTCAGACTTTTGCGAAGGACTCGTTGATGAGTTCTTGGTTTCTTACGGAATTTAGGCAGATATCTGTGTGATGTTTTTTGTAATTCAACTTATCTTCAAGTAATTTCTTTTTGCAGATTGGATTAGTAAATTCGTATTTCTCTTTTTGGCTTATATTGAACCCGAGTGGTAGAGATTTGTGAGAATTATTTTTATCACTTAATGCTTTCGTTGTGTTAATTCATGGGGCAGGGTGCCGCCATAGAAATTTGGTCTCGTATGGAGCGGTGACATCTATGGTATTCTGAACACACCCATGAGGGTGGCAACTTATTTGCCAGCGTCATCTGTTGATTAGATGGAGAAAATCAACTGGTTGGCGATATTTTGAAAGAGTGCCTGAGGATCGTAGTGTGTTAGATCGTTGTGGCTTCCATCTAATGCCGTAGTTAAAAAGTTTGTTGTCTTCAATCTGCGAGAGGATAACATCTGTTTGATATGACATCTAGTATATTTGTTTATAATCTGTTTTAATGAACCCAGTTAACTTTTCTGACATTTCTTGGTAAAGCCAGGGTTTCACTAATGCACTGAATATTTCTTTCCATAATAATAATTCCAATTTCAAGGCTACCAAGGAAAGACTTTATTGATGTGCTCCGTTTTTACTGCAGTGCAACGAAAAGTACCTATTCATGTAAGGGGGACTTTCTTGATATAAAAAATTACTGTGAAGGCCCATTCCTATTCTCCATTGCCAAAGGTGGCAAGAACGATGTCAAAACACGTGTTATATGTACCAAAAGTAGGGTCCTACCTTTTAATCAACAGAAAAGAAATGCCAGATTTTTATTTTCCTGAAGTTTGTGCACTGAGGAACCGCAGAGACTGAGCACTCCAGGGTTCGGGCGCTTGCATGGCCGACACAGGAGGGTGAAGGTGCAAAGGGGAGGGGCTCCGGCTGGAAGATTCTTGCCGAATAGCATCAGAATTACTTGCTTACATTCCCTTTCTGCTATTTTCAGGGGAAAACGCAAACAGCCCCCCAGATTTTATGACTCTGATCAAACGTAAAAATGTACCAAATTGAAGCGCTCCTCGGGGTTTTAAGGATAATGGTTAATGGTTAATGGTTAAAAGCAAAAATAAATGTGCTAGACATCTAAGGTCATGTAGCACTATAGTAAATGTTAGTAAAGGGTGGTTAAGTTAGTGATTAGTTAACAAAGCTGGGCAAAGGAATTGGTGAGTGAATGGGTTAAGGTCGGGTGAGGTAATGTAAAGGGGTTAGATTAAGTGAGGGATATTTATGTGTTTGAGAGGAAAACAGGTTGTCGAAGGGAGAATAGGTGGGGCGGGGGGGAAGCAGAGCTACAGGCTGCTTCAAAGCGTGTGCATGATAATAGAATGTGTGAGACTGAAAGAGGAACATTACATAAAGAGCATAGGGGTGGATCGGATTGCGACATCAGATAGGGGTGTGTTAGACGGGTGTGGAAAGGGATGCTTGTGATATAAGGGATTCATGTGTGTATCCAGGAGGGAGTGGAAGGGATAGAGGGGATGGTGGGAGGGTTAATGTGGGTGGGGTTGGAGTTGGGGGGGATGGGTTGTGTTGGGAGGGGGTAGGAGGATAGGGTGTAGGGGGGATATCGTTAGGAGGAGGATGGATATCGGCAGTCACTTGGTGTGCGGAGGAAGCAGGAATTGTAGGATTTGAAGGTTGATGGGGGTCAGTTTTCATTAAGAAGTCTTGGATATTTTCAAGAGTTTCTTCAATGGAGTTGGTTGGGGAGTTTTGTGGGATAAAGGATTTCTTGTGAGGGGGGGAAGAGAATGCTGGTGTCTCATGAGAGTTTTGGGGGATAAAGGATTTCTTGTGAGGGGGAGAAGATAGGACTGGTGTCTCATGAGTAGGGGCAAAGGATGATGGAGGTGATTGTGTGGTAGGGGAAGAGGGGGTGGAACGTTTGTTCTGTCTGTTACGGGGAGTGCGAGGAGGGAGAGGGGAAGGTGTTGGGGTTGTAGTGGTGATTGGAGTATCTGTAGTAGAGATTGGAGTTTCTGGATTTAGGATGGCAAAAGAGTTTGACTGGGGAAGGTAGGTGGGGTTAGTGGGGGGGGTTAGATGTAGGAGGGGTGGGTTTAGGAGAAGTGTTAGAATGAGCAGTATTACTGGAGTAAGGAGTAAGAGAGAATCCACGTCGACGTGCTTCCTGTCTGGCTTCACGCAGTGTGAGTCCGAGTTTGAATCTGAGAGTTGCTACCTCAGATTCAAATTTGTAGGTGGGACAGCCCCTATAAAATACATTATGGGGGCCGCCACAGTTGGCACATGTGCGTGATTGTGCAGAGCAGTTAGATCGGGTATGGCCAGGTTGGGCACATAATGGGCTGTGGAACGGCAGTGTTTGGCTGGGTGTCCTAGACGCCAACAATTTTGGCACTGACGTGGAGGAGGTTGGTATGGACGAACAGGGAGGGATTCTCCTCCTATGTAGACGTTAAAGGGAAGGTCATGTCTACGGAAGGAAATTTTGGCTATGTTAGTGGGTTTCTTTCGATGACCTCTGGGGGGGATGGAGTAGCATTGTACTGATGTTGCATCGTAGTCTGTGAGACAGGCAAGTAGATCTTCTCCACAATCTGACCAATCTTTGTCATAGATTGGGCAATTTGCTGGTGAGATTGAGACTGTTCCGGTGCAAGTATTGAGGGTTGGATGGGGTTCTGCTAGGATGGGGTTACCGTATAGGTCAGTTAGTTTTGTTAATGCAATGGCTTGGTTTTCGGATGTTACTGTTACAAGACGGGAGCGGTCGGGTCGGCTACGGAAAGAGACTTTACCTACTTGTTTTTGGAGGCATTGTTGGAAGAGAAGGGTGTTGTCAGAGTAGGGAGCTGTGGGAGGGATCACGAAAAATCGGTCCCATTTGGCTGCACTAAAGAGAGTGTTCAAGATTGTTGTAGGGGTGGTAGAGGGGCGGGGGCGTGACGAAGATGGAGTAGTGTTGATGGAGGTAGTGTTACGGAGAGGTGGGCAATAAGGCTGTAAGGTAATAAGGGAGGATGGAGTGGTTGATGTTGGAGGTTGTGGGGGTAGAGGTGTTGAAGTTGAGCTTGTTGGGAGAGTGGAAATGTTCCTTGAGGGTTGGTTGTTGGCTATTGTACTATTAGGCATTGATGAAGGGGTATTTATTACAGTGTTCGGAGCCGTGGTCAAAGGAGAGCCTGGGGTCTGGGAATTGGGTGGGTTTACTTCGTTGGGGCTATTTGATAAAGGGGCAAGCCTCATTGCCCCTAATAGTGGAGATAGATTTTCATTATTGGCCATGGTAAGCCTGGATGATGTTGGGGATAAAAACAGTCCACCCCTCAGGGTCCCCTTGAGGGGTAAGGGCTAGAACTAAATCAGGGGAATACCGTGCCCATGGCTCCCTCAGGCCGTTCAGGACTGGCACTAAGTCAGCCTTTCATCCTTTCAGCACGGCTCTCACACCTTAGGAGGTGGATAGCAGAAGGGTTCGGTGAAGGGATAGAAACAAAAGTGGGAAGGGAAAAAGGCCATGCATAATTAGTTGAGTCGAGGGCTGAGTCCCAAGGTTGGGGAGTTCCCCATCATTGGGTCCCAGTCTCCGCCTCCTAAGCCCCCCCACGACAACAACGGGCAAGGGATTGGGGGGGGGGGTTTAAGGATAACCATCCAAACACTCTGTGCATCACAATATTTTCTGTTATTTTACGCTACTATACCTCAGTGTCTCACTCCATTTTTAAGGTCGGGTAAATGTTTCTAGCTATTTCATAACTTTTAAATGTGCCACATGAATGGCCCCGACTATGCCTGTGGAGAACTAATTGGGCTTGGCTCCTTGTGCACTCCCTGACACTGTATGCCTAGCATTCTGTCCATTTCTGCCAACTGCACAAGAACTCACATATCTCCGATTTCAGTTTGGCTCACTTTCACTTCAGTTCAACCATGCCTGAAAAATATCACAACGTCGAAACGTGGACCGGCTTGTGTCAAATGCGTCTTCCGCAGTGCCGCCACTGCCGCCGCCACAGCAACTGGATGCGAGTACCCAAGCCTTCGGCGGTCAACGCACGAGCAATTTCGATCGTCGATTCTTTTCTTATCTGAATCAATATGTAAGGAGGAAATGAGAAAAATAACAATTTCTTGTTTTATTCCTAAGGTTTTGAAGTCGTACACAATTTACAAATAATAACAATAATATTTGGTAGGCTACTCAATCAAAATTGAGCAGAAAAAATAAAGAAATTCAATATGAAGTTCTGTGACACTCAGAACGCCTGGTGTATTATATACAAGGTAAATGAAGATGCTGCAGTTTGTTATATACATAAATTCTGATGTAATATGAGCAAGATACATTTGATGCATACTGTATGGAAGATCTTCACTATGATATTGAGCAATCATCCTCACATTTTCTAGGGTCATATATATACACACATACTTCAGGTATCAAATAACAGACAACATTCTTCAGTAGATAAATACCTTCATCAAATCTCCTTAACTCTTACATACAGTATGAAAGATTTAATACATCTTCCTTACTCATATTTTCTTTTGTTCTAAGGCAGCCATTCTGAATAAATAGCTTTACATCAGGTTTTATAATCAGGAAGTTCTTGCCAATATTACCATTGTAACTTCCTTTCTATACAGTACTGTAATTCTTTAAATCACAATGAAATCACATATCAGGATAGCATCTTGAACATTAAATCTCAACTATTCACCCTAGCACGATCAAATAAATACATTCACGCCTTATATTTTCACAGCTCAACCATGGACAAAGTGGCTCTCTGTACAAGTGCATACAAAAGACTGTACATGATTATTATGGTTTTACCATCGTCTGTCCCTGCCCCCGCGCCCGCCGAGGCTGAAGCCCCCTCGGCCGCCGCCACCTCGCCCGCCCCTACGGCTTCCTCCCACGCTGCTGCCCTCATCTCCGTCAGGCCTCTCGCGCATGTTCCTGTTGTAGGGCGCCTGGGGGTTGCCCATGGGATTTCCAGGTGGCCCATTGAAGGGGTTAGGTCCCATGGGCATTCCTGAGTAGGGTCCGGGCATCGGACCCCAGCCCCAAGGTCCACTTGGCCCCATATAGGAGCCGGGCCCGCCCGGAAATCCTCCAGGTCCCCCGGCAAAATTTGCTCCTGCACCTGGGAAGTTGCCGCCCTGGCCTCCTTGGAAGTTTCCAGGGCCAGAGAAAGGACCTCCAGGGCCATCTGGAGGTCCCTCGGGACCATTTGGTCTGCCTGGACCACTGCTTTCTCGAACTGAAGAGTCATCTGAAAGTTCAACAACTGCATTTTATAAAACATCAACATCACAGCTCCTATGCACAGAAGTTACTGGTAGCTCCCATGTCTTAAGGCATGTCACAACTAAATATTGTCGGGAAAATTTAATTGTGAATATGATTACCAAATTAAGATTAGGAAGCAACAATCTGTGCTCGAAAATGAGAGAAAGGAATGGAAACAATTGCTACTGTTCTACTGTATTCACGAATCCTATATTTCCTATTCACAAATAATGGTATTGTATTTTGAGAATAATACTTGCTATTAGTCACACATTCTTACAAAAATTTATTGAAATTTGGTTCGCAATATTTTCCTTCACCAAGTAATTACATTTGGCTGTAAGGAATATCATCGAATCACATGAATCATCTACAGAATAAAATGATCATAAATATTACAAAATTAAATATATCCACTATTTCTATATAAATGATACAACAAAAGATAAAATAATATTGCAATTAGTGATTGTATTATTTCCATTGCGACCGTTATATCCACACGTAAATTATTGAAAATGTGTGTGAATTAAAATATATATGTATATATATATATATATATATATATATATATATATATATATATATATACATATATATAAGTATATATATATACATATACATATATATATATATGTATATATATATACTTATATATATGTATATATGTATATATATATACATATATATTTTAATTCACACACATCTCATATATATATATATATAT